GAATAGGATGAAGAAGTTGAAGAAAATGCTGAAGTAGTGCGAGTTGATTCCTTTGACTGTGTAACTGTTGTCATTCCATGTAAACCAGGTGCTGAAGTCAAAGCTGTATCAACAACAAGAGGTGATACTGACCTTGAGACTGAAGGTGATATTCTTTCTGATCTTTCCTGCTCTATTGCTCGAGATATATTACTATCAACCCCTTGAATTGTACGACGTCGAAAACGAGATTCCCGCCTTGTTTCCCGCACTGATGAAGATCTGGTTAAAGAGTTTCCGTTGTTATTTGTAACAGCAATTCTCTGTAGATTTGAAGCAGAGCTGGCTTCACGTGTTATTGAAGAGCTCCTCCTCGTTTCTCTTAAAGAACTTGATGAATCTGATCTTACCATTGCTGAACGGATGTTAGAAAATGCCTCTGCTAAACCAGAAGTAAATTCATTCATTGGTCGAACATTCACAGTACCTCTTGGAGTGCTAGAACCTGAACCAGACTCTGACCCTGTCTGAAATGTCACCCTTGGTGCAGTAAGAGCTGTATCTGAAGTGCGTCTACCATTTAAATCTTCACTACTTCCACTTACTCGTGGTCCAAATAAAGTTTCTCTTGAACTTTCGAACATGTTACGAAAATTTTGTGTATCCTCAGCCATATCAGCAACTAATGTTGTATTTTCAAAACTCTGAGACCTTAAGGGTGTCCTCTGAATGCTTGATCCAAAACTCTGTCTTTCTATCGAGCGTTGTCCCGTCTGGCGAATAAATCGATCTCTTCTTGAATGACGTGAGTCTCCATCACCGACATTAGTTGTGTGTTCTGATGCATGCTCCAGACGTACACGCTCCAGTTCCTGAATTCTCTGAAGCCTAGCATTTATCATATCATTAATAGGCTGTCGGTCCTGCCTTACATTAGTAGCAAATCTCTCAGCAAGTGTCGAAATATCAGCCATTTTTTTTGTATTCTCTGATTCAAACAACAACTTGATGTACTTTAATGTGTATAATAAGCACTGTTATCTTTTTGTATCAACAGATCATTTATCACAAAAGAATAGTTTCTACCTTTATTTGTAAGTCATTACGAGGTTTCATTCCGAGTGATCACATGTCCTTCTGTAACAAAGCCTTTGTTTATTTAATATCCTAGATCAGCTGTCTTAATATCGGATAATTCACTAAATTGTAGCACGCTATTTCCATCGAATACATTGAATGTCCGCTAGACCATGAACGATTACAAATCACACATACTGTAAAGAGGCGTTATTACCTCGGACAAAACTATCTCAATTGTCAAATATAATTGACTTATTCTAACAAGTCATCATCCTGCCATAGTAAATTTGTTACTTTCTATATTAATGTTTTTATTCTAAATAGACAGTGTAAAAATATAATCCATCTGTCATTCGGGTGTACGAAATGAAAGTTCAGTGCATTAAGTTTTCCCCACTACACAATATATAGTAACAGCTGTATATATGTTGTTCTATATGTTCAATAGCCTTTATAACCGCACAATGCGCGTATTTATGTGTGCTGTGCCTTAACGCTATTTGATCTCCAAAGACATCAAATATTTTTATGATAACGCAATAGTCCACTTCACAAAGTTCACAAAAGTCACTTTCATTTTTTAAACATCAAATCAATGTTAGTGTCATAACCTGTCAGTGTAATACACAGTTTTTAATATTTTGATTTTCAAAAACTTCTCCCCTTTGAACTCATCCAATCATATTTAAATTATTCCGTTCAACAGCCATGAATTTTTATGAAACCAAATTTGTCATGCCTTTATGCCTACACTTTATATAAAAATCTTCCATCTACATTCAACCTACGTAAAATTTAAATCCTTAACCATGTAAACATACATTAATCTGACTGGTGCCCATATTTCACTGCTTAAACTTTCACAATATATCCATTCCATTAAATTTTAAACCAGTCTACTTTAAAAATATAACAGTCCGTAATATGATATATAAATCTCGCCCAGGTAATTTAAGTGTATGTAAGGTGACAAATGTCTATCCCAGGCACACTATTTAAATATCAATATATATGCCTTTAAGGGGAAATAAAACCAAATGACTAGATCGTGTATTGAATACAAAGCTACCTGCTCTTTGTGAGCTGAAGGAGAGAAAAGAGGATTGCTCCATAATCTAAATATTTGTTAAATCAGATACAATGCTATGAAATAAATGCACAACAACAACTCTATGAACAAATATTCAGATCAAGATGTTTCTTATGAAAGAGGTCATGTGTTTGTTTACAAACTGTGTTTAAGTGTTAAGTTGTTTTGTTGTTTTTTTTTGCAGTGTTTTGTATGGAGGCGAGGTTTTAAGTCCTTAGATTTTATGGCAACTTTCCAGGTTATTCATGATGGAGAAAAACCAAAGGCAAGCAATAAAAGATATTTCAATGGTAAATTCAATGCAATGGCACTTGTCTGGGTTTTCATGTCTAGCTGGACAGTTTTCTCACAAAGCATCAATTTCCCTTGTAGAATTTTAATAAAATATGATGTGACAAAATGTTAGTGACTTAAGTCAGTAAAGATCACTATACCATTAGAAATAAATGAGTTAGTATTTAATTCTGCAAATGATAAGATTTATCCATGCAAGACTTCTCCACATGAAGCATCTTTTAAATATAAAAATCTAAACATGCCGCAAATGAATATAATTATTAACTTCTTGTGTGAGAAAACCCACAGTGAGCATGACTTGTTAACCTCCGCCTTTAAAGGACATCTTACATTATCTTTCTTACACTTTTTTCCAGTACATAAATGACAAAAACCAGTTCAACTAAATTTACATTATACCTGCTCTATCTAAATTGGAGGATTGTTTTCCTTCTTTTTGGAGGATTTTGTGATATTTTAAGAGATGCAATGAATGTAACAAGGTAAATGGTGCTTGATTTGACTCATTGAGTCAAATCATTTTTTTCCTTAAGATCATTGTTTCTCATTATCAAGGATTAATTTTCGTTTAATGTAGGAAAAAAACAACAGATAATCAAAAGTAGGAATCTTGACCAAAAATAAAAAAACAATCTAAAAGCTGTATCAATTAATATTTACTGCAAACACTATAATTTGAAACAAACAAAAAAACACAACATAAATTCTTTTAGTTAAGCTAAGTAACAGTGTGTCAATGGTATTAAAATACCTACAATCAGTATTAACTTTATTATGCCAAATACATTATAACTGACAACTTCTCAATATATCATAATTTTGACACAGCTCAACAACAATGGCATCTCAAAGACACAAAAAGAAAATTCATTCTGCCAGACTTCTCCCAGTGAGTTTATGTGCAGAGTAACATAATGATTTCATGTATGTTGGCTGTAAGTTTTCATCAATCTACTTGTCAATATTGTCTGTATCTAAAATCCTGATCTCAGCAACACCAGACATAAACAATCATTTGTTATTCCACCAAATTGTGGACACTTGAAATTTACCTCCTGCTCAAAAATGACTCACCATATTTCGTTGTTTAAACAGAAAATACAGTCAAACCATCCTACATAAGACTCATACATATACTTGGAGAAAATGGTCTATTTACAGAGGTAGTCATTAAAAGACACATGTAGTCAACTTTACATTACATAATAAGGAACAGTAAAGTCTGTAAATAATTCTATAAATAAAAGTGGTTTAAATTTAACAAATATCTTAATATTAGTTTTTGCTCTACTTTTTGGTCAAATGAGAATGCCTAAATTTGAAAAATTTACATCTACAGTCAAACTTGTCAACTAAGCACACCAAGGGGGAAAGTGTAAAAGTGGCCTTTGTTCTGGGATGATATCACTATCTTTGATGAGCCCTAATATGCATATATTTTTCAAGTCATGCTTACAAACACTTTTTCATTATTTAGATAAAAGAAGAAAAATACATCACACTAAGAGTGACAAATGACAATGACAAAGTTAGTTTGATGCTAATAAGGAAAATATAAACCTCTTGAACAGTTAAAGTCGCTCCTTTTGTTTAAATTATTTTATTTTTTTCTTATTAGCATCAACCTATTACTTAATCTTACACCTTTTAATCTTCTATACAATCATCATCTCCAGTTTTGAAAACATCTGTGCAGATTTACAGAGTGCTACTTGTATATTGAAAGAGTATTTTTGGGTTTTCAATAAACACCATTATTATTATAACCTGCATTGATAAGTCAAACCTTCAACAACTGAGTAAAATATATTTTAATTTTTGCATTGAAGCTCAAGATAACATTTTCAGATATATATCTTGAGCTTAAAGGGGTTTGGTTGGTGTTTGACTTTGTAAGGGTGTAATCAAATGAAATATTTTTAGCTTGAATATCCAATAAACTGGCACATCTGTCTCATTCCTTTTTCCAGAACTCAACATTTTATTATTAGCCAATTTAGGTCTATAACTATTTGATTGTTTCTAATACAGATAGTCAAATTGACTACAAAATTGTTGAAGTATGTACAAATATAATAAGCTGGGTAACCTGAGAAATTGAGGGATTGAATCATACAAGCCATGTCACATATAACTTTCGTTTCTTTTTGTAGTGGAACATGAATTACTTTTTATTAAAAAATTATAACAAAAATATAATTCAGTGCTGTTCCACTTCTATAAAACAAGAGCTGTCCATAAGACAGCGTGCTCGACTATTCTCAGTGCTTGGTAGTAAAACAAGAGCCTGGATAATGTTTCTGTGTTCAAAAAGAGCCATAATTCTGTCAAAATTCATGCTTATACTTTTAAATGCTCCCAAATAAGTGTGTGAAGTTTCAACCTATCCACTGCAGTAGTTTTGGAAATACCACATGAAAACTTAATTAAAGTTTGCATTAGATGCCAATGCCATAACCAAAGCCTGGGTGAGTACAATAGCTCTTCATATTCTTCAAATAGTCTAGCTAATAAGTGACATGAGTATTTGTTTCAAATAAATCAAGTAACTAACCTTGCTTCTTTGGAATTGCTGCTTGTGCTGATGTTGCCTTAATCTGACTTCCAGAAAAATGGAATTCTGTGACAAATTTATCATCTTCCTCTGACACACCTGATGATTGGCTCAAACTATCATCACTAGCTTCTTCCACTGGAGTACTCCCCCTTACTTCATCTAGAGTGACCTCCCCTGATACCGAGATATTTGCCGTCTGCTTCTTTACTGATGGTACAATTGTCTCCCTTGGTGAATCTTCAGAACTTTCAGATTTATCACTCTCAGAATCTTTTAACAGATTGTCAAACTGTTTCACTTGAGAATCAAATTTATTATCAGTTTTAGAGTTATCAACTGCTTTAATTACTGTATCATAGTTATTGCCATTTTGTTCACTTTTTGGAACTTTTGTTTGTTTAAGTTCAGATGGCTTCTTTCCTAGTTTTATATCACCAAGAAGATTTACTTTTTTCTCCATTGGTGTCACAGGTCCCTTTGGCTCAATATCAGCACTTGATCTCTTTTCACCGCTTTTGGCTATGTTGACTTTGACCTCTGTGACCTTTTCTGTATGTGTTCTGGTAGCACTTGGTTTCAATGTTTTATCGAACTTTTTCAATTCATCTAACATGTTCTTTCTTTCAGTAAAAGAATCTAAATCCAACATCTGTTTATCAGCATTCATTACTACTTTAGTCACAGGTTTTGAGGATACTTTTCCCTTAACAACTTCTGGTTTTTGAGATGCAGTTTCAGAAGGCTTCTTAAATATATTGTCTGTACTTTTGGACATGTATTTATTTCTTTGTTCAGACATTGGTCCAAGGGAGACAACTGAATTTGACACAGATGCATTATGCTTCTGCCCATTTCCATTTGAATCTCCATTTATATTGCTTGATCCATTAATATCAATTGCTTTGCTTCTTAACACTGGACTGTTAGAGCTGAGAGATTGCACTTGAATAGATGTTCTGTTACTAGTTCCATTATCAGTTCGCTTTTTAGACACATCCGCAGATGTCATAGACTTCCTGTCTGCAGTAGACTGTGTTACTGCAGTAGCTTTGACTGGTTCTGAAGCTCTATTTTGCACATTTCCTTGAGACTGTGACCCCTGAAAAGAGTTCCTACGTTCAACAGCAGCTCTACTCTGCTGATTTCCTTGCTGAAATTTAAATGTAAAATTGTGTAAATTAACATGAAACAAGCAAGTAAGAGGAAACATCTTTTTATGCTATAGTGACATACATAATCACATTTACAGATTTAATTTTATTTGCTTATCTTTTTTGACAGCTTTTACATATAAAGAAAGAAAGCCTACAAGTAACTTCCAGGTGCAACCCAGGTGCAAGAAGGTCCAGTTAGAAATGCATTCTACCAATATCACTGTGCTGGATATCTCCTGGTATAAACCCCCACCTGCCCCTCCCTCATCCACCCCCACTCCAACCCACTAAAAAAGAGAACTGAGTTCATAATGTCATAATGGATCACAAAAATCTAAGATAAGAAAAGTGTTCCTAAGTCATGACCGTAACGTCCTATACATCCAAACCATTAATAATGGGAAGATGAATCATTTAACTGCAATATATTATACACACTAATAGTATCATAAAAGAAATTAATTTATTAATTAATCAAGTATGTTTATAAGAAAACAGAAAATATTTAGGACATTTAAGGATTTGTTCAAAATGAAAGAATTGTTAATATAATGGTTATAATATTTTATTTTTAATTTAAATAACACAACTAATCCTAATAATAATTCCTAAAAAAGTAAACCTATTTTCCCATAAATACTTTGTTTATAATTAAATCAACCTATGACATGGGAGGCTTTAATCTGACTAAGATTTATTATCTGAATTAATAGTCACAATATTTCAAGGGAGGCAATTTCCACTATCATTTATTATAAAACATAGTAAAACCTTGTTATATATGATACATGAAATCCAGGGATGTCCTAACAATAATGTACATCATAATATTCATGAATCATGAGTTTTGGTAGCAAAAAAGTTGTAAGTTGTAACAATAATTCTAATGTTTGTACATTGTTCATATTACATGTTATTCAACAATAGGTCAAGAAACATGGCTACATTGTGTACATACAGCATTTAATGTGAAAAAATTATGCATGTATGTCCTTTTATTTTAACAATTTGTAACTAAAAATAACTAAATATATGTACGGGAAAAGTTTAAGAATCATAAAAACTAGGTCAAAGACATTACTTTATGTCAATTACTTTTTGGTATTTCATAATGACACCATGCACCAGCTAGCAAATTCCTTAAATTTTCTTTTCTGTACTTAATAATGGTTGGGTTAAAAAAAATCAAATTCAGAAACCCAGAAAGTTGTCCAACACTTTTAAAGTAAAACTGTTTCAGACTTGGTTTGACAGAACCTTATCAGGGATATCGGTACCAGGTAGTTAATGCAATGTATTGTCAATGTCCCATAGCAACACCTTCAGCAAATTCAATATGGTAAAATCCAGAATTTTAAGAATTGCATGTCTAAGGAAGGACAGGGTAGCATTAAACCCTTAGTTTGCTCCTAATTTTAACTGGATGAATCAAACAAATAAATACATTGCCTTTAAGGTATGTCACAGCTTGAGCTTGGTACTAATATCTGTATTTTACACAAAATTAAGCTCACTTCCCCAATATGTCACAGATTATAGGGAACTTATTTTTATACTTGTATACTTCAACAGGTCTTGAATAATAAAGACAATGTTGAGGTACTAATTATGGTGAATTTCAAACTGTATTAGCCTACTTAGAGCATGCATACACCAGGAGCAGGCGATATGTGAGCAAAACCTAACCAACCACACAACTGAAAGAGTCAAGATTAGTACATGTACCAACAGAAGTGAGAACATCAACAATCATTTTCAGTGATTACTTTGAACTAGAAAAATAAAATCTTGTAAGAACAAAATCAGAGATTGTACCTGGGAGAAACACTTCATGCTTCTGTCCATGAGTAGAGTAAGTCTGGTCTGCGAAGCTGTCATATCTTTGGTGATGGACTTATATTGTCCAGAATTCTTCTTCAGTGAACCTTGCTCGGCACTGAGAGCATTAAAATTCTCTTGCTCTCTGCTCATCTCCTTCTGTAACACACTGATTGTGTCTATAAGGTTCTACAATAAAATAATTAAAATAAAGATTGATAACAAAAACAAAATTACCTTTCAAATTCTTCAAAAGATTTAACACAATTATGCCAGATTCTGTTGGTTTAATTTATACATTATGTCAAGATGCTTTTGTAATACACCAATGACCCTACCCAAAATTATCTGTTACAATTGAGAGACTGGTTATTTAAATTGTTTTCCATATTTTAGAATTTCATCTTCTGAATCATAGAAAAAATTTTTTATAGGCCCGGGCAAAGATTAGATTTCAATATCTGAAACAAGAGCACCGCTAGGCGGAGCATTATATGCCCGAAAGTGATTTTTTTTTTTAGTAAAGATGAAGCATTTGTAAGACATGGGAGTAAAATAAAGTATTACCTCCTTCAAATAACAATCCTCCTTTGAAGTTTCAATATTGTGGTCCAAATGGAACTTAAGTCATGCCCCAGAAACTGTTTTCAATTCTAAGGTAAAAGTGCCCTTGACCTTTGACCTTGTGACCCCAAAATCATTAGGGGTCTTCTACCCAATATGGACAATCATACTATGAAGTTTAAACACAGTAGGCCAAATGATACTTAAGTTATGTTCCGAAAACTGTTTTCAGTTTTAAAGTAATAGTGACCTTGACCTTGTGACCCCAAAATCAATAGGGGTCTTCTACCCAATATGGACAATCATCCTATGACATTTGAATATTTTGGGCTAAATGGAACTTAAGTTATGCTCAAGAAACTGTTTTCAATTTCTAAGTAATAGTGACCTTGACCTTTGACCTTGTGACCCCAAAATCAATAGGGGTCTTCTACCCAATATGGACAATCATCCTATGAAGTTTGAACACTGTGGGCCACATAGAATTTAAGTTATGCTCCGGAAACTGTTTTTAGTTTTAAGTTAATAGTGGCCTTGACCTTTGACCTTGTGACCCAAAAATCAATAGGGGTCTTCTACCAAATATGAACAATCATCCTATGAAATTTGAACACTGTGGGCCAAATGGAACTTAAGTTATGCTCCTGAAACTGTTTTCAGTTCTAAGGAAATAGTGACCATGACCTTTGACCTTGTGACCCCAAAATCAATAGGGGTCTTCTACCCAATATGGACAATCATCCTATGAAGTTTGAACACTGTGGGCCAAATGGAACTAAAGTTATGCTTGGGAAACTGTTTTCAGTTTTAAGGTCATAGTGACCTTGACCTTTGACCTTGTGACCCTAAAATCAATAGGGGTCTTCTACCCAATATGGACAATCATCCTATGAAGTTTGAACACTGTAGGCCAAATGGAACTTAAGTTATGCTCCGGAAACTGTTTTCAGTTTTAAGGTCATAGTGACCTTGACCTTTGACCTTATGACCCCAAAATCAATACGGGTCTTCTACCCAATATGGACTATCATCCTATGAAGTTTGAATATTGTGGGCCAAATGGAACTTAAGTTATGCTCCGGAAACCAAATTGCTAACGGACGCATGGGGGTATAACATAATATGTCCGAAATTCTTTCGGGCATATAAAAAGGCACTCATTTGGATATTTGTTGTATCCAGTCGACGCCTAAATTTATAGCATTGCCTCACTGAAAAGAGTCCAAAATGGACATATTCTGAGTGAAAGAAGTGGTCCAGTGGTAGGACATGTGCTTAAGGGTTCAGAGGTCCTGAGTTTGAGTCCTGTAAGGAACAGCACTACCTTTCTTGAGCAAAACATCTATACACTTGATGAGTGCTTTAATTGACTATTTAGGTGCTTCTATGAATTCTAACAATTTTACCTTGACAGACATATCTTGTATCTTGGAATTAAAGTCTCCATCATCCAGCTTCAATAGCTGCTGTGCTGTAAGAGCAGCCATTTCTTTTATTTATTATGTCTTTATACCTGAAAATATAATGCCTTTATATTATATACTGTGCTCCTCTTAGTTAACGGTACATAACACTTTGAAACAAGAAAGAAAACAACAAATGAAACTTACGGTACAAAAATTGTCATAAGCTGTAACATATAGGGATTTTCTGCTGTATGACACAAGGAAACAACAATATATTCAGTCAAATAAGTTTTAATGGGCCAGACGTAGACCATGTGTCGGCCATTTACAAAACGGTATGCCATCATTAAAATCACGGTAAATGGTGTTACACTATAGTTTTTTCATGTTTCAGTTAAAATTTCTAAATGTTATATTGCTCAATTTTAAACATTAAAACTATATTTACTTTGTAACTCAAAACTTATTATTTCAACAAACAAGAACAATTAGAAAATGATGATTGATTCAGACGTATACACAAATTTAATGGACAATTTTAACACTGGTCACATGAAAATATGTCATTACCGTGAAATAAGTGATGACGCAGAATTAGTGATGTCGAGTATACTTGAAAACATTTTTTTAAATATTATGCATCATTTTGAATTTTTGACATTTATAGAATCTTTCAAGCCAATGGTTTTAAACTGTAATATTCTGACTGTTGATGAATGCACTCACTGGAATACTTACATAAAACAAACCTGCACTTATTATTTGTCAATTAATTCTAATTAATTAATAACATTTCACAATAGAAAATCACCTGGCTCTCTTTCACATGATGAATTTATCATTTTAACATGTTTTTAGTGCAACATCAAAGATTTTCAAAATCAATGTTAATCATGTCAGTTTGACAATGTCTTTAAATAACCAGAAAAAAGAAAGAAAAGTTATTGTGTAAACATGTTTGTTTGTTTCATTTTACGCCTTTTCCCAACAGTATTTCAGTCATACAGGCAGGTAGTTTCCTAACCATCGTTCCTGGAGAGTTACACCAGTACTAGACTACCTTCCTCCACGCTAAACTACCAAAGCATCTCCTCGGGATCGAACCCACGCCAGAGAGGTAACTTGATTAGAAGTCATCAACTCTAACCCCTCGACCACTGAGGCGGTTCATGTGTAAACATATTTATGCATGAATTTTGGTATATAAATATGTTATTACTGTAAAAAAAGAAAGCACTCCATATGAATGATATAATTTATGTTACATGTATTTGAAAATGTTATCCATGTTATTAATTCTTAAAATATTACAAACAAATCTTAAGCTAAAAATTCAACAGGGTGCGTAGTTTTACCCTTGATTAACAGCCAACTTATACATAAAACAATGCACAGTGAAGCTCCTAGGGTGACCTTCACCTAACCAGTAAAAACTGAAATTTGTGTCAGTTAAGAAAATAAAGTCATTTAAGCCTAAAACTCAAAACCTAACAATATGTTTAAGATAATAAAAACACATATTGCGAACAGAATATTAAGAAATAGCTTTAAATTTTCTTGCAAATACAGAGAAAAAAACTTGACATACCTGAGTTGATAAATCAATACATGAAGTTGAAGCTGTCAGTGATGGCCATATCAAAAACAATAACAGTCCTCAGCACACTATCTCACTGTATGTCCATTGTGTAACAGCTGTCAAAACCTAAAATATGAAAACAGTTTATAGATTTTGATAGGACATATAGATTAACACAATAACAGTAATGCTGAATGTATGCTGAAATGCACTATATTGCATTATCTCAGTCATTCGGCTAGACGGAAGTAATTGGAGATTATATAAATAACATAAAAATTTTGTTTAAGGTAACAAAGATAAATTTAAAGATGATATATGAGAGTACAGTAAACTCTGCTTATAGATAATCGGGACGACCGAATTTTATATTCGTTGTATTCGCAACATTTATTTATCTGACTGGCACAAATTCAGACATTGCAAAGCACAGTTATATACATCGTTAATATATGTAAGTGATTTAACTTTATAAGTTGAATTTACTGTATATGAGGTTGATGCAATCAATAAGCAAAGAACCCATCTCAGGTGTAAAGTTTAAATCTTTGTGAGAATAGGTACAAGTTTTGACCTAGTTTTTAAGGTGCTTGCCTCTATGCAACTTAAGCACACATGGGTGTCAATTTGACTCCAATAAGCCATATAGGGTGCTGACTCCACTGTTCAGTGGGCACGTTCACATCTTATGTTCATTATCAAGATAAATAGGAAAAGAAGTTGTATCAACTTAGGACACTGACTTCAAATCACTTGCCATTCACTGCTGCGGGTCCAAATCTTGTTAGGGACTTTTAATAATTTCATGTGAGGAAGTTATCCATGTAGCTTACGGAAGGTGGGTGGTTCTACTCAGGTGCCCACTAATGTGCTTGAAATAATGTACTGACTTAGCACCTGACACCAGTAAAGATGCAAAGTTGCTGCATGACCTTAACAGTGTCACTGTGATATTTAACTCAAACAAAAACAAACAAAGTATCAACTTTCATCAGTTTACAAGCCTTAGCCAATGTTTCTAATATTTGATACTCTGTAAAAACAAACTAATCTAAGAAAATTTAGTATAAACTGTTGACCCTTTTTTATCAAAGTTAGGTCTATACAAGCATGCTACAATAAACAAGGGTTTAATGAGATTTAAATATGAAAATACTTATGTTGTTTGAGTAGAAATAAAACCAATAAATAGGTATATATATAGGTCTGTGGAAATCTTGGCCATGAAAGAGCAACCATACATGTGAACTCTCGCACTTTAAGCTGGGAGCATCCATATTTTGAAAGATTTTTCTTAAAATAAGGCGTATTTTCACAAATTAAAGAAATCTCCCTCTTTTTGATGACACAACTTTCTTGCAAATTGCAAATTCTAAAATCTCCCTCTTATTGAAGAAAAATCTCCCTCTTGATGATCGAAAAAAGTTCAGATGTATGAGCAACTACTCACCTCATAACAATATTATCATTATTATTATACTCCCCCTCAATAAAAACACTAAATCCAACAATTCTGTATTAAGCAATATATATATAAGTATTTAAAATGCTACATATAATACCATTACATTTGCACACTTCAATAATTCCATTGAATTACAAACCACATCAGCTAAATTTCAAATTATACAAAAAATGTGAAATAAGCCTACTCATCCAAAAACCAAGAATTTATAATTTTATGTGGGGGAACAAACCTATCAAAATATGACATCAAAATTTACAGAAATTCACTTAAAACAAATCCATGTCATCAATGTTTAACAAGAATGTTAAATTATTCATATGATATCTAAAGATGAGAAAAAAGCACACCCTTGCCCTGGACCCTTAAGCCACATAAGAGTGGTATAATCTATTCACAATTTTTTTTCGCATATATTTGTGAATTACCTTAAGGGGTGACAGTATAAAACAATCAATTACAATACACAATACCTAATATAGCCACTATATATATATATATATATAGACATAATACATACATGAAGATACAAAACTATCAACCATAGATACTGATACATTATTATTTATGAAGTATATCTATACACCAATTGTCTCATCGTTGATAAGTTATCTATAACAATGTTTACCTTTACTGCTCTTTTTTTTTACAACAATAATATAATGCTACTTGTATCTGCAATAAAATGCTCTTAAAGTTACTTTACAAAGGCATTTGTAACTAATCTGATATAGATATGCCCTATGTGTATATTACACCTTATTTTGCTGAAAGTTCTTTGACCTTTTCAGCATTATTTACAATTATAATCTTGATATTTTTCTGGTTTGGTATAATACATAATTTTATATGTACATTTCTCATTAGGGTAATCGGTGACCTTGCAGTATTGCTTCAGTTACAAGCTCAGCAACTGGTTAGAATCACCAACATTCCGGTACCTGACGGAGAGCTATCTCACAATCATGTAAGTATTCAAACTCCCACAATGCCGGACTCATTTTGAAGCTACAATGCCAGAATTTCAGATTGAGCAGCCTTGAACCTCTTGGTCATTGAGAGCACACCAAATGAAACATAGCGTTTACACATGTATATAGTAACACACCATAGGTGGTCACTGCTATAGTTTGCAATATAACCTTTCTTAATCATTTTAACAACCTGTTATTACCCTTTCTTATGGAAATTACTCAGGTTATCCTTATGATTCTCATTGACTAGTAAGTATCACTTTTATTCAGACTGGATTGCAACTTAATACTGAAATTACACTTTAAACAGCATCTTTAACCCTTATTATATGGTATAATATAACCGTTTTGCTGAAAGCTATCCTTACTTGCAGATTAAATGACTCACCTGCTATAAAGATACCCATATATAGAAAGGGAAATTAAAGACGACAATTATCTTATCCCGGTTGTTATCAGAGACTGACCTTTGACCTCAAGGATGTAATAAATATCGAGGCCATTGGTAATAAAGTTATCTTCACCTTTATCAGCAACTTTGAAAATTAATGCAAAAACAAATTAAACAAACTTCCTCAAGATTTTTTTTTTTTCTTTTTATCTCTAAAAGCATGGTAAAAACAACATAGACAACCTTTGTGACCCTACATTGAGTACAAAATGCACAGTCTTGTTATTTTTTTTATGGTATTTGATAGTAATTAAATATGTATTAACATCAGAACCGGGACTATTTAATCGCTGTGACATGATACAATGTAAGGTTGTCCAGTGTAACAACTGAGCTGACAAATAATTGACACGTCCCTGACAGCAAGGTCAGGGCAAGCCTCCACTACAATATATTGTCAATTGTGCTACCACCTTAATTAAACATTTCATAATTGAAAAGGATGATTTATATATACTGTGTGTATTTTTAGGAAAACTACATCCACAATATCATTTCACTGTATATAGAAATTATGAAAATTTCAACAAATTTAAAACCACAAGATACCGAATACACACATAATGTATAGATAATCTTGTCTTCTGGTAGTAGCTAGGATTTATATTTAGAGTCACACATACGAACATTGTTATAAGACACTCAGTTAAGAAGTAATAGTGTTACGGTTCAGAACTGTTCACTATTTAGGGGAGAAGGTGTGTAAGCAGCCGGGTAGCTCAATCGGTCGATATTCCAAGGGTCCCGGGTTTGAGTCCTGGTAGTGCTGCACATTTTTCTCACCCTGTGACAATAGCTTTACTGTAAAAGAAGACCCACTGAGGGGAGAGGATGTGCAAGCGGTCGGATAGGTCAGTCGGTAGAGCCGCAGTATGGTATTCCAAAGGTACCGGGGTCAAGTCCCGGTCAGGCTGCACATTTTTCTCAACCTGTGACAATAACTTTACTGTAAAAGAAGACCCCATGAGGGAAGAAGATTATGTAAGCGGCTGGATAGCTCAGTTGGTAGAGCCGCGGTACAGTATTCCGAAGGTCCCGGGTTTGAGTCCCAGTCAGGCTGCACATTTTTCTCAACCTGTGACAATAATAAGCTTTACTGTAAAAGAAGACCCCTTGATATCTCAAGAATAAAACAAAGCATGTTATCAGTCATGGTGGTGCACCACAGCAAAGAACAAATGACCTGAGACGTCCGAGCTAGCTAAAACATCTCTTGAAGGATTTTCACCTTGAGTGGTGTCATTCAGGTGAAATGAAAAGAAGGAAAATATGAACTGGTACATGTATATTGATAATTCTGTTCTTATGTCTATTATAACAAGCTTGAAAGCCACAATTATGGCACTGGCCTTTTGAAATCAAAGCACAGAAGGCGCTGAATTTGTTTGGGTCTCAGAATGTAAGAAAGGTACATGTTGTGAGATTATATGTATAGTGCCACCAATGCTTTCTAGCGTTTTAATTGTAGTAAATTGGCTATAAGACTAATTGCAACGCTGATATTCAATCCAATGTTTATTTGACTTAAACAATTTGAAAAAAAATGAGTTGCCTTTACTGGGATTTGAATTCCAGACCTCTCGCTTCCTAAGCGAGTGCGAAAACCCTTCAGCCACGGTGAACGGCCTGAAGAAAACCATATTATTCTAAATTAGGGCTTGTAACGACTTTAAACTGTTGTTTAACACAGATGTAAATAATCCTGGAGCTTACTATAAGGATGTATATTTATAAAGAATCAAAGGGCTGCAAGTTCTGTGGTATTTTCTGATCTTTGCAATCTAAATCGTACTGTATGTATTTCCTTGTATAAGTTTATTTTTATGTATTATAATTCATTTTGCAAGGCACCAGAGTTTGATACATACGGAATTCTGCATTAAGTTCTAGAGTTGCATCAAAATATCATTTATTCATTGTTGTTTAAAATTGAAGTAGATAATTTGGCGAAAATCTTCTCGCCCAAACAGTCCGACATGTAGAATCTATATATTCCACTACTCGGTTGTGTAGTATTCGGTAATCGACATCGCTAAAAATAGTATTTTCATTGATAAAATCATATTCATCCGCGTAATTTGTGATTGTGCATTTATTGACAATTCTATAAGCCAACGCTATTTTTAAACTTTGAAAGCGTTGTAATTTGTTGGATACTTGTAACAAAATAAAAATATTTCTTTCTTTTAAATCGCTAGTTTTAAGCTGTTTTGAGAACTATTTGTTGTTAGGTTTGTCGTAAACTTCTGTGTCAGAGATTGAATATCCGCTTTGTATTTACTTATTTTTCGATCAGAAAATACAATAAAACAATATTAGAAATCTTCGACCATTCGGGAATTATTTTGCTTGAAAATTAATGTGCTTGTCTTTGACCATCTTTACGCAGTGATCTCCCCCGAATTTTTCGGCGTTAGTGTACATATAAAGGGAAGTAACCGCTTCAAAAAATTGGACTACTTTCGGCATTTGCAATTAACAGCATTAGACTCTGAAATTTCGCTACCATATTTGTTTGGTCTGACGACCCAAACAAATAAAAATCACTGGCACCACTATTTATATCTCTTTCTTTTGAAACTCTAGTTTGATGACAAGTGTTATCTTAGTACACAAATATAATAAGAAGAACCAGTATAAATATTGACTAGTTTTTGAAATGCTTCCCATTGAAATTAACACATTAGTACCAGCAATTACTTATTTACAACTTTTTTGAAATACTACCCTTAATAGAGGTTATTTATCTCAAATTTGACCCTATCAGGTAGCCTTTTACTGCCTTTTATTACACAGGTCATCTTTCATTTATTGACATAATATACCATAATGTCAGGTACAAATTGAATGATAAATCATACATCATTTAAGTTTCATATTCAAAGTGAGAAACTTGAGACAGTATTCAAACAATTCTGTTCAAAGATGATATACAAAAGAAATAATGATAAAATTGTAGAAATCTGCCAAAATAATCCTTTTGAATTAAATTGCTCAAAATCTTTATAGCTAAAAGTAAAAAAAGAAAAATGTTAAATGTAGAATCTGAGGAATGTACATGTACATGTAGTCAGAATTAGACAAATATTTACATGCAAATTAACAATACGGCAGGCCGGATAAAAGTTTGCCCTATTTCACTGATAGGGTATAAATTGACAATTTGTATTCATTCACACCCTTTCTCCTTCAGATAAATGATTTTATGTTAGCCCACATACTTGTGGTCAATAATTTATAAGAGAAAAGTAACAAGACTGTGTATACATTTTTCTTCTCGATTCAATCAGAATTTTTTCATTAAAGCATATCAATACCTCAAATCTCTGCATGGTCATTACATGTATAATTATGGAAATTATGATGATCATGCCATGGATCTATCATATTCATTAAGGAAATCAATTATCATATTAATTATGCATGATAAGATCTATCATCGCAATCATTGAAATGTAAAAATTTGTTGAAGAAGACAATCCGAAACCTGCATGATAATAATCAAACTTGGGTTGTTTCATTTGTTAACCGTATCATCAAAATGCCTTTCATTTTCTTGTTGTTAATATCTTTATTCAACTCACATCAACTCTTTAAAGGGTCAAATTGCAATTACATTTTGTATATACTGGACAAACATAGCTGATCACCAAAGGTACGTAATTTTAGGCATGTGCTGGTATCAAAGTTAATGGCCAACAACCTTACACTACCCTAGCTACAATAAGCTTACATAGCTTTATCACATGAACTTTCTGAATCAAACTCGGGGCCAGCAGCAGGCCATTTCGTATCATGTAAAGTTAAATTAAGGTTTCTCTCAATTTCCAAGCATAAAACATAACCTTAAGTTAAGTAAGGTGTGGATAGAGTCAAATGATTTTTTTATCAAATCTGTTTGTTGTTGAAGACAATTACATAATTACATTATATATTATATAACATTTATATACATTTATATATTAAACATTTATGCATTATATAAATGTAAGTGATGATTTTTGTGTTTCAAACAGAACTTCAAAGAATTTTCCTACTCTATATTTTTTTTAAACTTTAACTTTAATGTTGATCATTTCTTTCGCTGTTTTTATAAATGTGGGCAATAAATTAGAGCTATCTCTTCTATGTAAATATGACTTAGATGTGCTCGAAATCTTCAACAATGTTATAAATAAAAGTTGCAAATTTTGTGGGAAATGTGAATCAGTATTTTAAATGCAAGAAAATTTAAAAAGCTTGCTGGCCATTATGCCAACAATATAGAACCACAGGCATTCAGCGCGTTGATTGGATTGGTCACTACCCCACCCCATTTTACCCACTCTACAACCCTCCGACCTCGTCAAAACAATGTAAACTGCAGTATTTTTTATTTGAAATATGTTTTAATATTTGATATATATGCTTTTAATTCAATTTTCAATTGTACCCACATAGTGACCAATCAACGAAGGCGCTCAGAACACCTTTGTATATAGAACCACACCAATTTGAATATCCATTGTTATGACGTAAACCCTTAATTTCTCCTCCTAAATATCATAAATGAACTCTTCCATCTTTCAATTTGGACAAAACCATTCACCATCAAGGGAAAGTTTCATATTTTAAATATGTATTGACCGAATAGTAAACACTTGCAGACCATGATCAGACTGCAGTCAAATGTACTGGCTGATCTTGGTCTGCATTGCATGGTCGCATGGGTTGTATCAGTTGCGCCAGCTGGCTATCTGTTTAGCATTTCATATCATAATTCCTTACTAAAAGGAAAATTATAGCAAAGTCAAAAGAGTTTCAACAGGGTCAAGGTCAAAGCAAGTAATTGACGCTTTTATTTAAAGCTGTGCAATTCAACAAAAACCATAAACGTAAAACTGTAATTTTTTAGTGTAATCTTAATGCTGATTTCACAAACTAGTTAAAGTCTACATGTATACATCTTTCTTTTCATGTTATTAAAATTCAAATGAAAGGTAGCTATTTTTAATACATACAAAATACTTAATCATCACTAACACATTTTAACCTTTCGTTTACAATTTACTACAAAGTCTTATTAAAAAACAGTTCTTTAATTATAACAGGTGTTTAGAATTATTACATTAATCTAATAATCTTGTATAAATTTCAACAAAATTTCATACCTTAATATAAGGTTTAATCCAAAATAAGAGTAATACCTAGGATTATGCTGTAAGACTTATATTACGCTGTGATTAAATGTACAGCAATTTAAACTTACTACAATGTTTATTTACAATATATCATATCTCAATGGAAAATCCTGAAAAGAAATATTCAGGGGTGTATTCAGGTCATCTATTGAAGTATGACATAAAGTTTGTAAATTTAATCATGCAATCTTTTCAATGTGAGTCAATGATTATCTACAGATCTAGATTGAATCGAGCATAATATGTTTATACAATATCAGGTAAATAAATAAGAAATGATACCTTTAATAGAAAACAAGAGCTGTCACAAGAGACAGCGAAGCTCGACTAATCAAATACTGGATGCAGTAAGGAGGACAAAACTATGAAAGAAAAATCAATTATGTATAATTATGTATTAAGTTATAATTAAAAAAATAATATTTGTTAACATAAATTCCATGATCAAGGGGAATAATTCTAGAAATAGTCATGCTAGAGTTATGGACCTTGTCAAACAACATTTGTGTAATGATAAGAAATATATATTTGAAGTTTGAAGTAGATACCTTAAAAAGTAAAGAAGTTTTTATATTTCTTTAAGAAAATCCTAAGTTCAAAGAGAGATAAATGTGTAAATATTGCTTCAAGAGTAATGAACATTGTCACATTAAATGTAATTGATGATAAGGAATAAGTATTGTAAGTTTGAGGTAGATACCTTTAAAAATAAAAAAGTTATAATAAAAAATAACTTTTTTCTAGTAAAATAATCTAAGTTTATGGGGAGATAATTCTTGCAATATTGGTGCTAGAGTTATGAACCTTGTCACATAAGATGTGGATGATGATAACGTAAATATATTTGAAGTATGAAGTTGATCCCTTTAGAAATAAATAAGTTACAGTAAAAAAAATATTTTTTATGGAAAACTCTAAGTTCAAAGGGAGATAAATCTGAATATATTGGTGCTAGAGTTATGAACCTTGTCACATAAGATGGGGATGATGATAACGTAAATATATTTGAAGTATGAGGTTGATCCCTTAAGAAATAAAGAAGAAACAGTAAGAAATAGTACTTTTTGAGGAAAATTCTAAGTTCAAGGGGAGATAAATCTGAAAATATTGGTGCTAGAGTTATGAACCTTGTCACATAAGATGGGATGATGATAAGGTACATATATTTGAAGTATGAGGTTGATCCCTTAAGAAATAAAGAAGTAACAGTGAAAAATAGTATTTTTTAAGGAAAATTCTAAGTTCAAGGGGAGATAAATCTGAAAATATTGGTGCTAGAGTTATGAACCTTGTCACATAAGATGGGGATGATGATAAGGTACATATATTTGAAGTATGAGGTTGATCCCTTAAGAAATAAAGAAGTAACAGTAAAAAATAGTATTTTTTAAGGAAAATTCTAAGTTCAAGGGGAGATAAATCTGAAAATATTGGTGCTAGAGTTATGAACCTTGTCACATAAGATGGGGTTGATGATAAAGAACATACATTTGAAGTTTGAAGTTGATACCTTAAGAAATGACAAAGTTATAGTGAAAAATATTTTACTGCACCAAAACTTTAATCTAAAATCTGGACGCGGACGCCGACGCCGACGCCGGGGCGAGTAGGACAGCTCTCCATATACTTCGTATAGTCGAGCTAAAAATGCAAAATGAGATTCAAATGTGTTATATTGCTTTGATTTTTAAATACTAAATCAAGATTTATTTTAATAAAGATTTAAGACATTACGTTTCATTGCCCATAATCTAACCATAAAGTGGCCATTGACCAGCAATTACAATAGGTCAAACTTTACAGCAGAAAATATGAACTTTCAGGTTACACACCTCTTTTCAAAACATTATCTTACATGGCAAACATTAAACAGTCATGTATATGTGGACAGTATTAAGATACTTGTTCGGACAGCAAGCATCAAGTCTTGTATAGTCATAGTGGTACTAACATGCTTTTATGGTTGAGGAAAGTCACAAGTGTATTTCTCAATATTATAATTACTTCAAGCACAAGCCAGAAATGGAATAAAGCCGCCACTTTACCAGTCATAATCCAGCATGAAAGTTTTTTCATACAAAATGCTGCATGGTCCTGCTGGTATTTATACTCTCAAAGTTCACAGTCAAAGTCATTAGTAAAGATGGGGTAAAGTATGTATGCTATTACATACTACAAGTAGCATGTGTTTGAAAGAAGCTTGTATTCACAGTGGTTCCTAATTCTAAAGATTGATTTGCTTATCCAGAACAATTATGAAATTTATATAAAATCTTTAAAGTCAAGAAATGGTCAAAAGTTTTCCAAATATGCCAAGTCATAAGTTAATACAAATATTAGCATGAGGAAATAGTACATTGTAGTACAATTATTTACTTAATCAATGTTTATATACAGAAATAACATATACCATTTTCTCATAATTTACATTGTGATCAGACAATTCTCAAAAGGTTACATATTTGATGATGATAATTTAACAACAATTTAGAGATCTAAAATATCTGCTCAGGTCCATGAACCTCAGGCCTACTTGCTTTGTCTGTAAATGATTGAAGCATGTTATATAGAATGTAACTATGACTGTATCATTTGAAAACCTGGAAAATGTAATTTGTAATAAGTCGGCCATATTGGACATCATTTTCGATTTTCCCATCTTTGTATTTCAGACAAGTGAAAAGAATATACTGTAAAGTTTAAGTTTTGAAACTGTAGGCTTTGAAGAATATCAATCTAAAATAAAGGAAATTAAAAACTGTCCCCCCTGTATCATATAGGCTAGTAGGCTGATTTGTATCACTATATATATGATGACATAATATCTAGTTTATTTGCTAATCAGAAATCAACACTTTACAATAATATAATAATAATAAATTTTATCTCAAAGTGGTCACCCATTATACCTAAATGATTATTTAAGATTTAAATGTAATTGTTACATTATCTAACTTTATCATAAATCCAAATGAAAACATTATAACAACATGTTTATATATAAGTATGTAATATGTATATTTATATATGTATTAATCAGCTTTTTGTCAGCCAAGTGGAAAGATTGCTGTCTTTTCTCCACAAATTAGGTTAAATATTCTCAACATATAATACATTGTATTTGCACTTTTAAAAACTAGTACAGACTGCCTTCTCTATAAATTGATGTTAAAGGTATTTTTTAATTTATTGAGACTGAAGAAATATGGAGTGTTTTAAGATCTTAAATGTCACCCGACTTGTACAGTTTTGCTGAAGTTACTGTCTGGTTTTAAATGCATTTTAGCTATGATATTCCAAATCAAACCCTAACTGCTCTTTAAGTGTGCACATGTGTATATGTATGCAGCAAATATTGTGAGTTTTACTTTATTTTGGAGGCCAACACTAACTCTTCATTTCATAAGAATTAACCAAGCCACTAACATGGAATTACAAAGAGCATCAAGGACCTTTTTTAAGAGGTGGTTCATCAGAAAGATAAATTAACTTGTTATTGTAGTAGTGGGGCTGGATAATAATTAAAGTTTCAAACCCTTGATTTAAAACTTCATGGTATTGCAAATGAACTGCATAACCAGCCACACAAAAGTCCCATTGAATCACATAACCAGTCACAAAGTGTTCCAACTGAATCACATAACATGTGAGTCACTGTGGTCCAACTGTATCACATAACCAGTCACTGTGTTCCAACTGTATCACATAACCAGCCACTGTGTTCCAACTATATCACATAACCAGCTGGACAGTAGGCCTATTCCAACTGTATCACATAACCAGCCACAGTGTTCCAACAGTATCACATAACCAGCTGGACAGTAGGCCTATTCCAACTGTATCACATAATCAGCCAGACAGTGTTCCAACTGTATCACATAACCAGCCACACAGTGTTCCAACTGTATCACATAACCGGTCCTTCAGTGTTTCAACTGTATCACATAACCAGTCACAGTGTTCTTACTGTATCACGTAACCAGTCACACCATGTTGCAAATGTATAACAAAACCAGCTACACTGTGTTACAACTGTATCACGTAACCAGTGACACTGTGTTACAACTGTATCATGTAACCAGTGATGATGTGTTACAACTGTATCACATAACCAGTGACACTGTGTTACAACTGAATCTCATAACCAGCTATTCTGGTCAAATTGTACTATAGAAATTAGTGACACAACAATCACATAACCAGCTACACAGTGGTATCGACTTACAATTATGCTGGTTATTTAACATTTTCTTGCTTTGGTAGTAAATTAACAGCCTTGGCCTTAATTAATATAAAGATACACCTTTTTTAATTACTGCTGTACATCAATCATTCATAAAGACTTAAAGTGAGTGATATTAAAGGGAAAAATCTAAAATGTTTACACATAAATGACATATATATTTTTTTGGAAAACTACCTGATAAAAGGTAATCGTACATTGCAAAAATTTATCTTTTTTCCTACATGACAGCTGCATTCCTTTATTGTCAACCTAACACAAACACCTGTCAAAATTAATATAAATTAATATAAAGTTGTCAACAACTGTCTAATAAAAATTAATCAAAACATTCAAAATGATATTTTAAAATAAATTGACCAAGAGTACAAATGCATTAAAACCAAAAGATTATTAGTATCCAAATAGGATAATATAATTATTTTATTGCATTGTTGACAGAATATTTCTTGTTCTAGTTTTCTCTTTCTGTGATATTGCCATTAAATCTTTATCTTTTGCAAGAAAGCAAATGTATATTAGGGTTCTTAAAAGATTAAATTATATTTCCCTGAAAATAAACATTACAACATAAGCATTAATTTTGTCTCTTCATATCTTGAACAGTGTTATTACTAAAAATATATTGAGTTTTAGCACTGCTTCTAATAATCTTTTACTACAAGAACTAAGATCATTAATGATTTTTGTACATGCATTAATTACCTTTTCATTATTTTTCATATTTTGAAAATATATAGGAACAGGAAAAGTTTTTTACAATGAAGAAAGCTTCAAAGAAATGATTAGTGTATTATCTATCATACTCAGGTAAGTTTACTCATTTAAAAACTTTTGTAGCCTGGTTAATAATTTCCTAAATATATTGTTGATAATTGTTTGAACATAACAATGTATGATAACATGGTTTGCATTCAGATACATGGGAGACAATACCTAATTGTAGGTGTGGGCACAATGCCAAACATCTCTGAAATATCAAAACTTAGACACAGTCATGGATTTAACACCCCACCCTATCATATAACAGTGACATAATTTCTATTTTAAATCATAACTAGTTCATTAATTCAAGATATGAAGCCAGGAAAAGCTATGAGTATAAGTGGAGTACCATTTTTAATTTGTAATTAGTATGATTGGACTGGTAAGCTAATAGAACAAGCTATATTATTCTGAACCCATCATTTCATAATATAAATGATGATACAGAAATATGATAATTGCCTCACACTGTGTTTATATTGTCTTATAAACAGCAAGATGACAATCTATAAAGGGAGTGGCAGATGAGGATGATTCCCCCTGGCTAATTAAGAAGACAGGTCTACATTTGAGACAATTTTAAGATTTGTCATAACTGGACTTGCCCTTATTATCATCCCTATCATCTACTGATTCATGGAAATTTATGAAGCTACTGATTCATGGAGAAAATATTAGAACTGACCGACTTAATACAGATTTCAATATAGTTATTAAAAGCCTATTATGAGCTATTTGAATTAAACCATCATAATAAACAAACCTGTTTCAGCATGAAAATGTGTATAATAATATAGAGTTTTCTTAGAAAACCTATGATAATTTGAAGAATTTTTCCCATGTTCACCTTAAATATGAAATAAATTTCAATTTCTTCCAAAATCACACATTACCCTTTTACCAAAAGCATTTTCTTTTTCAAATATTGTACACATATTGTCATGATATTAGAATAGTCAGACCATAAGTTTGCCTATTAATACTGGTCATGTCTTAGAAACATCACTGTTTGTGATAGCTGGCTATAATGATGTTGTCTTGCATTCAAAATATTTCAAAATTATCCAGAAGGCAAAAAGAACAAAGTTCCAATATAACCTTAAAAACTAGATCAAACTTTCAAAATCATATTTCTGACAAGACTTAATTTTTTTTAAAAATATGAAGAAACTCTGGTAAGTTCTGGTTTTGAATAATAAACAATTTGATAAATAATGATTTGAATTAAAGTGTGCTTTATTGAGGTTGATAAACAGCCGCATCAAGTACCAGATTAGGCAGATCCTCAAGTTATCAGTAAGTGTATAGATTCTATAATTATAATTATCAATTGATAACATTACTACAATATAGATCCATCAAGTTAATCAGGTAACATAAATGGCATAGAATATGTAGTGCAAAATCAAAGTAGCGATACATTTATATGGGAACAGTATATTTTAACAACATATTCATTTTCATAAACAAAAATAACCCCACCATTTCTACATTAAGAGAATCAAACTTTAATGTTCAATATTCATTATGTCCGAAAATTAAACTATCCGAAAAACAATACACATCATTCACTCCCACTTCTGCCTTTTCTCAAATGAAGCGGCGATACTATGTGATAAATTCCATGTATTCAAGGCAAACATTAAAAGATGTTATAATAAGTCAAATAAAAATCTATAAAATCAAAACAAAACATGATTTACCTGGCTCTACCTTAATTAGCTTTTATCGTAATTGGACACCGGCGTCGATGTATATTCCGCCCAGGCAGATATATCCCACAAGACAAGTTTGGAGGATTTATCTCCCTTGCAGCAGGAGATTCAATTTAATAATTATTCAATAACTTTTATAAAATTATATTAAATAGTTGGAAAAAAATACCACATAACGCAGATGAAATCTTTATCTAAATGTCTTATAATACAGAAAAAAAGGAAAAGCGTTTGTTTTCACAGAGACATAGATATCTACGTCTCTGGTTTTCATTGAACTGACTATATAATAACATACATGTATATCTGTATGTGAACTCTCCCTGTTTAATTAAGGGTAAGCGGGAGACACCTTCTTTCTCCTGTCAAATTTTTAAATAATTTTCTTGGAATAAGGGGTGTTTATAAAAAAAGAAAAAAAGAAATCCCCTCTTTTTCTTTTCAAAATTTCCTTCTATGTCTATTGTTAATTAAAAAATCTCCCTCTTTTTTAAGTAAATTCTCCCTCTTGAACATTGAAAAAAGTTAACATGTATGTAATAATTAAGAACAAATTTTAAGACATACAGAATAACAAGAGAGATTAGTGATCACATGAGTCGGCTCATGATAGCTGCAGCTACTGTGCAACAGGAGACATATATGGCACAGCTTCAGGTCGTAATAAAGTCCTCCTTAAGGATTGGGCCGGGTATATAGATATCTATATCACTGCAATTGAGACCTTAATTGCTGTATTATATTCATTAGACCGTGATTTGTACAACATGGACATATATTTGGACAAACACCTAGCTGAAAATCATAATTGGCGAGTCGCTGGACGTATATTCGCTCCAGTACGGCGGAGGTCTATAGACATAAACATGTAGCTATAATATTCGTCAAAACGAGAGAATTAGATGGGACTGGATACGGAAAGAACGAAATAAATGTTATAAACGACAGTTAGGGTGTGTACTATGGAATTGCGAGCTTTTGCGAATCGTACGATATTTACGGTACAAATTCCCTTTGTCTTTTTTTATATAAACAAAAGGAAAAAACTGTGGATTTTAATTTGAACTGAATTAAATAGAGAAAAACAGAGTCCCTAAAGAAAGCCCAACACGGCAAAATTGTAAAATGTTGCAGGCTCGGTTTGATTGAGCCTGTTCATGGACGGTACTGGAAAGTGCAAGTCACTGCCCACGCCCACTAGCACCGGCTTAAGCAGAATTCAACATTTAAACACAAAAATGGTGAAATTTTGAATTTAGAAACATCCGCAGATGTGTTCATACGGCGGTTATCATGGAACCTTCAATGTGACACAGTAGTGTCATTCCATGAAAAGCGGCGAACGGTCCCCATAGTGAAAGAATGCGTGTGCCCTAAACGAGAAAACAATGGGCGGATCTAAATAAAATGGAATTTTGAAAGGGGCCTGAGGTTATGAAGCCTGCATATCACAGACAAGGCGTCAAAAGATAAATTTAAAAAATAGGCAACATATCCTAAGGCTGCTTATACAGTATTAAAGTAGGAATATTGGAACCACCCAAGTTGAAAAAGGCCAAATACAAGAAACTAAAATACCATCTAAAATGTATACACGGCAATAATGTCGTGCTGAACGCTCTTCAAGGATCGAAAATATAATGTACGGGGAGACTTTTTCCAGTCGCCACACGGCAAAAATAACACGGACGTGTTAAAGCATTAAAGTAGGGTGCCGTGCTTTTAACGAACAATATTTGGTATCTTTCCTCTGAAAAACATTATTATCTAAACGTGCGTGCGTGCTTGTTAATATTAGGTGGGAAATACAAGATATTTCTATCATGTTTTCCTTTTTTCCGTAAAATTTCATTTTATTGAAAGGAATTCATTGTATTTATAAATAAGTCTTGATCAGTTGATTTGGTCTTTATTCAAGATATGTTAAGAAATTTGTTTGATAAAATGCATGTACATTTTTGTAATACATGTGTATCTGCTCTGTGCCAAGTATATTTTTGAAATTTAAGAAAATCATGGAATTTATGTTGCATATTGCAAAACTCTTACCGAAACCTCACTAAAAAGCACGTTGCGTTTATAACTAAAATATAAATGCGACGATATAGTAACTTTAAAAAAAACGAAACGGATGTTTCACATAATTAATTATTAACTATAGTCTCTAACATTTTATAACATTCACCAATACGAGTAAACTGTCGGATTCTTTAGCGATTTTATTTTTGCAAATCAAGGTAGGAACAATATAATTATAACTACACTTGGAGAAATTTATAACTGTACCACACTCTATGAAAATATATATTTCTAGAATTTGCTGATGGAATTCTTCAAAATGTTCAATGGTGGTACAATAAAGACGAATGAATACTACCCCAGCGACACGAACATGTTACAGGGCAGCCGTTGTAACTCTTAGCTTTGGTCGTCGGGTAGACTTGAAACCTCTTCCGTTGCCCTTTACCTCATTTTCTTATGAAGTTTCTGTGTACATCTATTTTCCTAGCAACATATTAAGATAGATATCGATCAATTATCAATATCGATCAATTAATACCCTTGAAACACTTATGAGGTTTTATAGATTTTACTAAATGACATCTGGGCGGCTACATATGTATAAAGTTAGGGAAAGCTCTACTTGGAACAGATTTGTTATTAGTAAAAAAATGTTTTGTATGCTCACTCGCGCATTTAAACAAAATATGATCGGGCTGGAAAGCATATTTTGAAATCAAAAATTGCGAAATTAAAAATGCATCGAACGGAAAGTGTTAAATAATTATACTTGAATTTTCATTTAGAGATCACTTTCCTCTCTTTGGACACTTCGGACACTCCCGCCGAACAATGTTACATAACAGACATACTGGCCATTTTTTTAATGCACATGTTTCAATTGCACATGATTTGTGTGCCTTTAGAACGAGTTTCACGTGCATTTTGAATGGAAAATGAAATAAAAATAAATAAAAAATAAATAAGAACTAAAAACAAAATCTGCATTTCTTATATTCATGATATGTTCTATTTTTCTACCGCAGAGCTTTATTTAAATATTTGTATGTACTGTAAGTCTCTGCTTCTAAAAATTTGTGCCAACTCGTACTTTTATACCGGAATTTCGTGCACTGTAAAATAGATTGTCTAGACGTCATCGTACGCAATTATCGTCCTTGACCGGAGAACTGATACGGTAAACAATGGAAATGGAAAATCAAGACAAAGTTCTGGATGTTTTAAACAGTAAGTTGTGTTTGATATTTGACAAAACAGTACTTCAAATATTCATAAATTGACTGTCTCTCACCATTTTGTCATATCTTTACAGGTTTTGAGAAAACACCGTCTCGAGATATACCACCGGTCTTGGAAGACTATTTACGCACAGTCGCGAAAACTGGTAAAACTGTGTAAGTAAACAGTTTGAAATATTTATCATAACAATTTTCTTACATGTTTCTGGTCTTTTATAGTTACATTTTGTATATCCATAAATGTTAAGTGATTAATAAACAAAACTTACAAACTGATATGTCTATAAATAAATCTTTTCTCCATCTGGAATCATCTGCCAGGAAGAGTAGGTCGGTCTATTTACCCAAGATACCACAAGACTACTCTGGGTGGGGTAAATAGACCGACCGAGGAAGAGTTGATTTTGCACCAGATTATTCCACTACTAGATTGTAATCAAGTGATATAGGAATCAAGAGGCATTGCCTGAGAAACAAGATGTCACTTGTAAAAAAGTTGTACAGTCGAGACTGCCTTAGCGACCCCCTGATTTCAACGACTCCCTGACTTATCCGACCTTGTTTCAGTACCCCCAACGTATTTTCCTATATAAATGGTTTGAATTAAACAACTCCAAGTCATATGTGACAAGCGACCCTAATTGTCTGGTCCCAATGCAATGTTTTGTCTGATTTAAACGACTTTCACACCTTTTAATTGTCCGTTAATATATTGATAAATTGAATACCTATTTTAACACCCACAGGGCCAAAATAATTAAGTCCAATTATATAATCCAGTAGCAAACAAACTCTACACATCTGTGCATCAATTACACTGTTAACATGTATACAGTACAGGTATCAAGTGACGTAGCGTCTGTTCTCTACTGCCAAATATGGTAAGCATGATGCATTCGATGTGTGTGTAATGTACATAATGACCTGAGTAAACTGGATAAAGACTTGTGTCAGATTTTTTTTTTAAATTATAGAGTGCCAACGGAAGATTTTTTTAGGCAGCATTTTTTAATTTACCTTTCTATGGCTGTATAATTAATACGGGAAAAAATATTGATACCAAACGGTATGGATATGTTTAACCTTTACAAGTATGATATTTATTTCAATGATTTGAATGCATCAAATTCCACAGACACTTTGGGTTTGGAGCTCAAAACTCCTTTAAAATCTGCATTTTATTTGGATTTTAAAGGCGTTTAATAAATCCCTGAAAAATACTCAATTAGATTTAGAATTTAGAACATGCCAATGGAACATGTTCCCATAGTTGCAATAAGATAATCAAGCACGCCAATTCCACAGAAAAACTTTCAGCATTTGGATATATTAATGAAACACCCAAAAAAGTCACAAATTAATTTCTACCCAGTTCAAAATGGAAAAGTCAGTTAATTGGTTAATGTCAACAGCCTGAGGCTGAAATGGTGAACATTAAAAGTGACTTAAATTTAAAAATTCAGAATGGCATCACAATCCCCTTTTTTTCCAAGCTAGATTGGACCCGGACCCATTCCCAAAAATTCAAAAACAAAAAAAAGCCACTTGACTTGTCAGATTTATACTCCTGAAATACAAAGTTTTCACCCAAAATATTTAAGATCTGTTAATGTCATGGTAAAACAGATTTATCTAATTTCTGGTATAAAAATCCCTTAAATGCTCAAATTATTATCTTAAACATTCGTCAGATTTGAGTTAAATGTTAAAATACTTTAAAGTTAATAATTTTAATCGCCTGTGTACTAGAAAACATGAAGATTTGTTTGGATTTTTACAGCTACAGATCTACATTAATCAATTTATTTTTGTCACTTTAAAGTACACACTTCAGTTATTTAATAACCAGTCATTTGGGAGCATCATAAACATCATCACATATGAAAAAGAAACTTGGCAAAGACCTTTTTTGTGTCCATTAAAATTTAAATTTAGAGGTATTCATATGTAAAAAAAAATTTACAAAGGGTTTTCATGATAAATGTAAATGAATTATGGTTATAAATGTGGAAATTTCTCAAAACATTTTATTATCAAGTGAAATTTGAAACAATTTAAGATAAAATAAACAAATTTTTCAGATTTACATAAAATACCACAAACATTTAATGTTACAATATAGGATGCATTTCAAAAACTTTTAATTTTGAACCAAATGCACTTTTTTTGAAATGCCTGGGGTTTCCAGGGGCAACAACTCAAGATGTTTTTTTGCCAGAACAGAGCGGGTGATGGAAAAACATTCAACAAAATGACCTTGGGGGTTTCGCGGGCCCCATTTTCCAAATGTTGATAATACAAAGTTTATGGAGATGAGACAGCGCATTATTGATGCATTGCAGAAATTTAATGGGTAAAATAATCAATTTCGTGTTACCCACATTTTGTAATTTGCTTAATTTCTTTAATGGACTTGTCAAGCTTCAGTATTATCAATTTTGAGTGATATCAGCATGAAAGATTAAATTCAATTTAAAATGTCAGACAATATTTTTGTTTTAGAAATTCATGTTTCTGACATTTATTAGCTTGATTATTCTGCAGTCACCCATTTGTCGGCATCGGCTTCCCTGTGGTTAAGTTTTTGCATGTAAGCAAGTATCTCCATAACTACTGAAGGAAATGAATTCAAATTCACATCTTACATGATTGGTACAAGTCCCATAACTCTTGATTTGTTTTTTCGTAATTTTTCCCCTTTTTCGGCTTAGAAATTCTTGGTAAAGGTTTTGCTTGTATGCTGGTATCTCCATAACTACTGAAGGGTTTGTGCCTTTTTTGGGACAATTTTATGCATTCATAATAATAAAGCAGTGATTTACTCAATAAAGCATCTTAACAATAAGCCTTTGTACCTTTTCGGACAATTTTATGTATTCATATAGGTAAGCATTATTATACTCAATTAAAACACCCTTGTGACAACTTTTTTAAATAGTCGAGCATTAATGCTCTCCAACAGATCTTGTTATTGCATACAATGAATTTGTTTCACAGAAATTTTTACCTTGCCTGATTAATTAAAATCTTGTAAATAGAGTATTTATAGCATGCAGCATTATGAAATCATACAGGTCATTGTCATGACATTATTTGAAACATTTCAAAAATGCACATCTCTGGAATATTTGATCACTTTAAGATGTAATTTCTTATTTCAGTGCACCATTTACTGTACAGCGACTTTGTGAACTTGTAACACAGCCAAAGAAGCATTATACACAGTGTGATAAATTCTTGCGGGGCATTGAAAAGGTATTCTTTCATGATATACACTTTAGATATTTGAATGATTTTTATTTTGTGTCTAATTTTAAATTTAGTGCATTTTGTTTGCTTTTGTTCAAACTTGGCAAATTATAGGCTAACAGAAAACATGATGTTTATAAACCAGCTTGTAAGATGTTGTAAACCAAGTAATGTTGCAATGTTTTGTGTGCTTCAGTACCACTTTTTGCTGGTTTCCTTCATAAATAAATCAATGTTGATAGTGTTGGTTCTATCGACCTTTAATAATATTCAAAACCTTGGCGTCACATATGTTTTCCCCTGACATTTACCAGCCATCTATAATTTTTCTGTCTTGAACGAATGGTGATAGATCCTTTCAGCGGGGAAAAATGGTAATGTAATTACTAAGAAATGGTTAAAAAAAGAAGTGTATACTTGATAATAACTTACCACTACAGATGAAAATTACTCGATATGCAATATTATAGTTTTTCTGTCGAGTTGTGTGTGAAAGCTGAAAGTTAAGGGTTTTTTGGTTGTGGAAGAATTCATCCTGAAACTGTCAGAAACAGCTTGCAGCCTTCAAAACTTTATGAAACATTATCTATATTGATGATATTTTTTCATCAGCAAGTGCTTTCCCTTTAAGATATAAAATGGAACATTTTTTATACTTGGACTAAAAGATAATATGGAACATTGTACAAACTTGTATGTCATATATTTGCTCATACAGCTTTTATTTTTAATTGATGTCTTTCATGTTTAAATGCAAAGGAAGGTTCAGATTTAGATAGGGGTGATTTGGGTCAAGGTCAAGATCAACAATACCAAAAATAGATATTAACAGTTTTACAGGTGACAGGTAATCTATGTCATTGACAGACTTCTTTTATATTTCGGAGGTGTCTTCTACCTTTGGAGTGAGTTAAGGGGGGAAAAGGGCCAACAGTTAAAAGCAGAGTAGAGAGACATAGATTTATTTTTTTTTTGTCTAAGAAGGAACATAAATGAAGCAAATTTTAAAGTCAGTGTGTTCTAAACTACATGTAAACATATATCGTCAACTATATAACTGAACAAAAAAATTGGTGTGAAATGTTTAATGAATAAGCTGTTGTTGAATGTATGAAAGCTGTTTTTTCTTTGTCTTAGTTTTGTTAATAAGTCAAAGTAATTCATTTTTATCCTGTTTACAGAATGTAATGGTAGTAAGCACGGTTGATCCCAATGGCAGGTATGTATTTTTTGTTTATTCAGCTTCAAATCCACTTTCAATACACTTTAATCATTATTTTTAGAACTAGATCGCAGACTAGTAAAACCAGTTCCTGTTGCTTTGAACTGCATGCCTGTTACTATTGTGGTTTATTCAATCAACCTTTAACGCAATATCTTAAATGGACTTTCATCTTTCAATTTGGCCCTAACTATTCATCAATTTTAGGGAAAATTTTAAAATAAGTACTGACTGAATAGCGAACAGTGCAGACTATGATCAGCAGGCATTGCGGGACTGATCTTTTCCTGCACTGGGCGCTGGGATATTCGGCTGTTCACTTAAGGAAAAATTTTCATTAACAGAATGTATGGGTTTTCCAAATTTACCTCTTTGGGGTTTACAAAAGATTTTAAAAAAATAAAACCATTTAACATAGATTGATTTCTTTTAAAAAAAATTGGGCCGTAAAGGAAGTCTGTAACATCATTAATAGTTAGGTTGATAGTATAAAGTAGCATTCATAGCACCAAACTGTTGAAGAATAATATGTGGATGTTGCTGGTAAGTGTGAGATACGATATTACATATATATGTATAACAGACATTTACATCATGAAAAATCAAATTCTCTTCTATCTAAATACCATAGCAGATAGAATAGATTTTGCTTTTTCATCATGTAAATGCCTATACAAAATTTTTTTCAACATTTTTCCTAAATAATATTTTTTAAAAACTTACAAATTATACATTTGTATTGTTTTTTTATAGAAAAATGTGCCCATTGTAGACCAATTTACTTTAATATTCTAATTTTACTTTGTTCTGAAATATTTTCAGATTAATTCTTATGTCCATTTTTACAATGATCTCTCTTGTGCTTGATACATTCTATTATCTTAATATATTCAATTTTATTTTGTAATGGGAGATAAATCTTCTGACTTTATGCTCATTTATATTTGAGTTGTGTCCCTTTAATTAGTAGTTTAGCTTACCTGTAATGAAAGCTTAAGGTTTATTTAACCAGTCGGGAGTCATATCAGAACTGGTGTCAAATAGGAAGAATGTGGTCCTGGCCCAAACTGTGTCCGAACTCTTGATTCCTGGTTTGAGGGGCAGACACCTTAACTCCCTGGCCACTGCTTTAATATATCAGTATTTCCCTTGTTTATGTGTACTGATGGTGTGATTGATACTGACTATATAGATAAGGCATCATAGATAGACCTTAATTTATGGAGTGAATTTGTGAATATATAGATGTTTTTCACATAGCAATTTTTACTTCCCCTGGCCACCAGTAAATATTGTAAAAATCGGGAACTATCTATGAAATTCTGAAAAAGGGAGGTTATCCAAGTGCGCAATTTAAGAAAGTGATTTAACTGTTCAAATACGGTATACATCCATTTAAAGGTCAGGCCAACAACTTGTTATCAGTTTCACCGATAACATTAAAGTTAACATGTGATCAAGGTTAAAAAGAAGGACAGTATCATTTACAAAATTTAATTCTTTTAAAAGGCAGATTTATCCAATATTTTCATAGACAATGAAAGGTCTTTCCAGCTCCACCCAAGGATGTTAGCATATGTTTTCACATATTTAGTTATTATTTCCAAATTTTACCTTAAGTAGCATTGTTTTATCATATAAAATCAAGAAATGTAATTTTCTTGGAAATATTTTTATTGATATATTTTGATACATAGGAAGCTCAAGCAAAAATGCAATTTATAAAGATAGGAAATGATTAATGTAAAAAAATTATATAAACACACAAGTGTTATATGTGAATACCATACAAAATGGAAGTGTTATATATGCCTAATAATAAAAAGGTGGAAGTGTTATATAAACACAATAAAGGATGTGTTATTTAATGTAATAAAAATGAGTGTGTTATATAAACACAATTAAATTGAAAGTGTCATATAAACACATTGTAAAAAAAATATGAATGTGTTATAATTATAAATACAATTAAAATGGAAGTGTTATATGAACACATTGTAAAAAAAATGACTGTGTTATATAAACACAATATGAAATAGGAGTGTATTTATTACCAGGAAGCAAATTATTAAAGATATAATAATCATTCAGTATGGTTAGCATTACATGTAGAATGTATACTAGTTACATTTTTATAACATTAAGTATGTAAAAACTCAAAAGTTGCTGCATTAAGAAATATGGGCACAAGTTAAACTTACTTCAAATTCTTTTTGTTTCCTCATATATACATGGAAAAATAAATTAAACAAAAAGTTCAAAATATTTTATATTTCACAAACTTTAATAATCTCAATGAGAGGGTTTGTGTCTTAAGCTAAATTTGCTTGATTTATGAAATTTTTTATGATGTGCTATCCTTATATATAAAGAATTAAATATAAATATAGGGATAATGTGATTTACCAATAGCATCAGTAAGAAGGTAAAAAGGCAAAGATAGAAAGCTAGGCAAGAAATTCATGTCAGTATCCTAAGTATTTCATTTTCAGATTTCATGGAATAAAAATTCACTTTTATACAATGGTTTACATGGTGTAATTACCATATTTATCATGATTAAAGCCATGCATTTCAATACAAAAAAAAAACAACTTTTTTGGCTAGTGTCATTCCGATTCCAAAAGACTTGCAGCATTTTATTGTTAAGAAATCAATAATGTTTTGATGATTTATAAAACATAAAACTATCACTCTTTGATTTTATCACACGTATTAAATGAAATTTGTTCTCTGTTGATACACGTATGTTATATAAACAAGGTTTAGGTAAATTTTAAAGCTGATAAATCCTTATAGTATCATTGCACCACATGCCCACATAGAGTGTATTCTTCTGGGAGTTGTAATCTACACATTGTGGGTTAACTATACCATTACTGGCATCCAGTATTACCTGGCCTTTCGACAGATCTCCGCTTATACGGTGTATGTTATTGCTGTTATATCCGCAGACATACACATGTCCACTTTTGTCTACAGTCAGACCAAACGGCATCTGTAGCTCCGCATTCTTATAAACAGCTTTGACCTTTCCATCCGTTGTTAGACTTTTCACGGTGTTGTTGTTGTAGTCAGAGACGTAGATAGTGCCATGATCTGGGCTTTGCGTCAGATACTTAGCATGACTGAACAGCTGGTTCCCTTCTGAGTCTGTGGTAAAACTCTTCAGATTTTCTCCCTTCATGTTTATAACTTCAAGTTTGTCCTTGTGGGTGACAGTAATTTTGTCTTGACTGTATATGATACCATAGCAAGGAGTGCTTGTTTCCAAAAAGTTTAAAAGAGAAAGCTCCCTTCTCTGGCTGACAGTGAAAAACTGGATTTTCCGTTTAAAGAATAGTGTGACAGCAACGATATTGTCTGTTACCATGGTAATATCATGAGGGTCACTCTCCACAGCAACAGAAGAGACAGTCTTGTTGTTAAATGTGTCTATCATTTTGATCAGGCTGTTACCGCAGTCAACAACCACAATAAAGCCATCTGATAGGCAACAGACCCCTGTTATGGTGCAAGGCTTTTCATCAGTCTTTGTTCTTGCTTTAATGGAAGTCTCTCGTTTTGTATGTGTTTGGACACCATTTGTTGAATTTTGATTTTCAACAATTTGTGTAGAAATTCCATCTGTATGATCTGTAGGTCCGTCTAGTAGAAGTGTTCCTAGTTCTTTAATTGCCAGCATCATCTCTTTGATTTGTTTGGATGGTTCATACTTGAAATGATCTACTCTGTTTTCCTGTTTCAGTTTTTCTAGGGTGTCTTCTAGATCTTTTAGGTCCTCTACAATTTTCTCCATTGTAGCAGAGGTTTGCTGATCAGACTTCTGCAGTGAAGCATTAAGTTGTTTTTGAAACTTTTCAACCATATTCTGTCTTTTGACATTGTTTTCTGTAATTGTAATAAATTTTGTTTCAATTTCACTCTCAAGTTTGTCAAAATAAAGTTTGATTTCCTCCCGTTGTTTTTTAAGCATTTCCTTGGCTCCGCTTAGCTGTGTTTCATTTATCACCTTGTTGGTCTCGTAAACACTTCTTTCATGGTCAAGTTCCTTAGAAATTTTTTGTAACTTTCCTTTTACTTCTGTTAATTCCATTCTTATATTATCAGACTGTGCTGTATAGTGAGAACCGTCTTCAATGTTACGATTGCTAGAATATTTTATTGCGCAAGAAATACAGTCTACTTTATCGCATGCTTTGTGATGATTTAACGCAGTCTGACCTTCACTCCCACCTTCTGATAAACCCTCAACCTTGGCTCGTTTAATCGCTTGAGTCATTTAATTTCACAACAGTTTACCGTCAATTTTTTTTCTTCTCAAAATGATTTATTCTTTCATATATCACATTTTTTTCCACTTTAGTCGTGGTATTTGTTTAACAGCTATTACACGCATTGAACCAACTTTTGCGCAAGTTGTAACTTCCTTCTTCCTTTAATATATATAATTTGTGTATAATATATATTATCCAATTTTCATTCACTTGTTTATTTTCCTGTTTCATTAACTTAAAACCTACACCCTTATCTGATGAATATAAAGTATGTATTTATCTAAAATATACAAAATGTTAATGTATAATTGTTTAAAGGTGGTTGACCTGGTAGCAATGGAGAAAAAGATAAAAGTGTCACAGTTAAATTTTTGCCTCTTACTTTAAAGCACATCTGACCTTGACATAACAAAACCTTCATAAAGATTTATTTTCAGAATAAATAAAGAGGAAAAAAATACTTTTGTTGGTAACTTAGGAAAAAATTTTTATACAATAAGTGAAGGTGCTTTTTGATAAGTGTATGATTTCACTGAAGTTAAATGACTTCCCTCTTGCTTTTATTGCCTCTTAAATTATGCACAAGGGAGATTCACAAGCAGAACAAGTTGTTGAAGTTACTTGACATAAATCAGTAGGTGTGTTTGAATGTTCCCAATGTTGTATTCTTTCAATTTAGGAGCTAACCAGATAGCTTTTGGAAGGGAGTACAGTAACATAAACCCAAAGTAATATATTAAACCCAAATATCTGCACATGTCTGAAATAAGTCTTGGTTGTTCTCTTTGTATCTTTTTCAATCAGATTAAGCTATACAGATGCATTATATGAAATTACCATTTGAGCCGCGTCACGACAAAAACCAACATAATGGGTTTGCGACAAGCATGGATCCAGACCAGCCTGCACATCCACGCAGTCTGATCAGGATCCATGCTGTTCGCTATCAGTTTCTCTACTTGTTATAGGGTTTGTAAGCGAACAGCATGGATCCTGATATAGTGAAGTGTAGACAATGATCAGACAACACAGTTGTGCCAGCTTATCATGGTCTGCATTGTTTGCATAATAGATTCAGTTAATGCCTAAGTAAAGGTCAAATAGTAATTACTCAGTAAATAACTGCCAATATTAATATGTATGAGTTCATGTTGAAGTCCCACCCACAGGTGTTTGGCATGTTTATTGGTCACTTCCCCAACCACCTGTATAACCCCCAACCTTTCCAAACAATTTAAATTGTAGTGTTGTTTTTTCATGTAACATGCAATTTAATACCATATTTATATGATTGTGACAACATTTCTTTCATTTAAAAGGAAAAAGATACATATTTTTTGGGGGTAGTAACCAATCAATGCGCCAAACACCTGTGGTCTTAAGTGGAAAACTGGTAACTGAAATTGATTCAACAGTTATCAGATAATTGAATTTACCCAATTAAAGGTAATTTACTATAGTTAATAAATATCCCATGTATAATATTGGTACATGTATTTCATTAATAATGGAGTACCTTTAAAATATCTTATGTGAATCTAAAAATTATTTGAAATATGAATTTAATTGTTCAGATATGTTAACAGATAAATGAAAAGACCTCAAAATTAGACATAAGGATTCATCATTCAGATTTACTCTGTCACCCCACATTAAGGTTGTGTGACATGTAATAAATTGTTATGATTACAGTGAAATACTTGTTCAACCAATTCAGCCTTGCATTAATCACAACAAAATTACATAAAAAAATGCACACTCAGTTTCATTGAGTCTGTGCATGTTTGATAAAGAAAACAGTGCAACTTCCCTCATGCCCCCTAGCATTGGCTTGATCCAACACTTAAAAGTACTGGAATCATTGATCCCAGAAGACAAGAATGATATAAGGATATATACCAAGACTTGCCATCTTTTGAACTGTTCATTGTTATTTTGAGGAATATTGATATGAAAAAAGGTTTTTATTTCTCAAAAGCTTTTTATTTACGGTGTCCAGTTATTGTTCCAAAAAGGTTATAATTGACCAATTACCTGAACTTGTTTACATCATTTTGCTATTTTATGACAAATAGTTTCACATTCAGTGCTACTTTCTTCAGGTAATAAGTGTCTAACATGCTAGACTAAAACCATTATTTAAATGTTATAAAACTAATTTTGCTCTTTCTAAGGTCATATTTGGTATTAAATCTGTAGATAATATTTTATAAAATTGATCAGACATGTTTATGTTAGAATGGCTAGCAGGAAAAAATGTACATACATTTGACATTTACATACATTTATCTCTTATTTTAAACATAAAAAAATGGTTTCCATAGAGACTGTATTGAAGTAATTGTTAACCCCGAATTTTAGTTATCATCCAATGAAAAACTTTATCTTTGTACTTCCTTGTATACCCCATATTCTCTTCCTTATTGATCGTACCTTAAAATGTATAAAAAGCTATATATCTATGGCAAAAATTATTGTTTGAATTTTAAAACAAATAATTCAAGAATGCTAGTATAAAATAAATATGTTAGTAAATTGCCTTAAAAAATGAATTGCGCTTACACGAAAGCATTGCTAAATTGATTATACCGTACTTTGTAAAAAGCAGAATATATTTTTTTGTTACTGAACATTTTATTCTGTTTACGTACAATATTCATGTGTAAGAAATCACAGAGATTTCGAGAATCGACCATATGACACCTATATAATTTTTGTGTTAAATTTTTTTACCTGGCTCAAGTTAGGTTAAAGACTTTTCCTGCTTTAAAATAAGATTTTTAAGTACGAGGGTTTTTACCATGAAGCTTTGATATTATAGCAGCAATGAGTATGGTTTCACACTGCAAAGATAGGCAGGATCCTCGGGTTATATTATTAGTGGCATTGGCAAGTTATTATAGGAACTGAAGCTCAGAGTTTAAATATTTGAATTTGCCTGGTTCATACGATGTAGAACATATACATGTAGACAGTTTGTTCAGTGTCATCTTACATTTTAAATATATTTTGTAGTTACATATATGTATAGTTACATGTAAAATGTATGCATGAATGCTCAAACATTTTACAATGTAAACAGGACAACAATGTAATTTGACAAACTAGAATGTCATAATGTATATAAGCATGAACTATACAATAACTGTGGAAAAACAATTTTGTATGTACATTTATATGTACATATTACTATACATATCAAGTTAATGTGGAAAAAGCAAGTTGTATATACATGAACTGTAAAGTTTATGTGGAAGAATCTTTCTGAAATGAATGGAAAACAATGTTCAGAAATTACAGTGTACGTTTGTATTTGTTATGATTATCATAAATTATGATATTAAGAAGTTGGCATAGATTTAAATAACCTTTTAAAAGTTAGATTAAAGTCTTCTTTTAAAATCATAAAAATTCATAGATAATAAATACTATTCCCGTGACTGATACATTTATATCAAAATCAGTTTGCCAAAATACTGAGCTATTTGTCCTTGAACACTTACCATGCGGAACAAAATCACAAACTAGCAAAATACTTTGAATCTTTTGCCCCTTACCAATTACTTTGAATCTTTTGCCCCTTACCAATTATTTTTAATATTTTGCCCCTTAACATTAATTTTTGTGATTTATCTCATTGACCCTTACCTCACTATGTACTGACTGATCTTGGTGTATCAATAGGTATAGGTCAGAACATTTAAATAAAGTCATGTAGATGAAAAAGTTAAATTGTGTCCTTGTCCCTATTATGATATAATATTTTTTTCTTTAATATTTTGCAGAAAAATTGTATCCGAGTCATCACATCCAATGGTCAATGGTTTGGACATGAATGGAGTTAATCAACAACGGTCAGACTTCAATGACTTCACAGATGGTCAGCCATTTGGCCCAGGTCCTCTGGTTGACTGGGCAGGAAATAATGTAGCGACTGTCTGGCCAGAGCCTACCAACTTGAACAAGAATAATTCAAATGCAGAAAGTGCTATATCGTGTACTGACGATAAAGTGAACAATCTTAAATCTGATGAAAAATTAGAGGACAATATTGAATCTGGATTGCCTAAAGCTGAACCAGAAGCTGCAGATGATGATAAAGATGAATTAGTTGTGAAAGATTGTGTTGTCAAAGACAGTGTTCCATCTTCTGTATCAATAAATACAGTGTCAAATGAGACAGAAAATACGACTGAAAATAAGACTGAAAACACAGAACAAAAAGAAAATCAGGACATTACAAAAAATGAAAGCTCAGTTGATTCCAAACAAATATCTGAAATGTCAACAGACAGTATGTCATCTGGGGATTCTGATAACCAATCAAAAGAAAATATAGAAGAGAAAAGTGCAGAAATAGGTGTGCCTACAGAGAAACATGCAATGGATGCAGGAGATGATGATGCTGGTGAACCTCCAGAGAAAAAGGTAAAGTTAGGGATGGTATTTTTAAGGAATAGTTTACAACGATGAAAACAAAGAAGTAAGCAAATGAAAGGAAATATTAAAATCAGGTCTGATTTAAACTTTGTGATAAAATAAAGATACATCAAAGAATTTAATAGGTGGTTAAGTGATTAACTTTTGAGAATTGACTGAGCCTCAAAAATTTATAAAAAAATAGACCAGTCCTGCATGAACATTGGAAAAAAAATCACAGTAGGAAGATAGGAAGTTTTTATGCTTGAATGATTTTTATTTAGGTTTTGCCTTAACTATCTATGCCAGAATGGTTTAAGATTTCATTAGTCATAGTGGAAACTTATACATAATATCTCATGTGAAATATTTGTAAGACATATTTATAAACAGTTTTGGTGTCACTTAAAAGTAGTCAAGTCTTAGTTATTACACAAACAGAAAACAGGACACATGATTGTATGTTTTTGGGGGCGCATGCGCAATGCGCCCCCAATGTAATAACGACAAATTCAGATTTACTATGATGTGAACACAATTAGTCAGCTACCTACGCTAAGCAAAATAGTTCCAAAACTTCGCAGTAACTCCAAAATCATAGTTCCCTATCTATTTTAAAATTGACTTGCCAATTTTGTACTAAATTTAGCAATCGTCTTTTAAAATTGTATGTATATTTTTGCTTTACGCGATTTTAATATTACTACGCCAGCGGTCGATCATAGCCAAAGTACTTGCATAAATATAGTACAAATTACATGTAGTCACAAGTTAATTAAGTGTCATAGAACTCAAAAATTTAGCAAGTAATGGAATACGGATTTCAGATCAGCTAACTTTAAAGCTTATAGGGCCTAATGCTTCATAAGTGTAAATTTAAGAAAAACAATGCATGCGTATGAATACGAACTATTTTCGCCCTAACGTCATTTTACCGCAATCGCCATTGTTTACAAGTTCATCCGTGATTGAGAAGTTTATATGGAAGTTCCACGTGTTAAAACGAGTTGTAAGTTTTATATTACAAAAACCTTATCTCCCATTTACCTAAATGTTGTATAACTTTGCTTGTTTTGCATTTATCCATTTATCAGTGGCGAAATCGTCGTCAAATCGTTGGCGATTCTGGTTGCTTACAAAAAATACAAGGACTTAATACCGGATATGACTTTAAATACAACGTTATTCAAGATGACTGATGTTCATTGTTTATATTTCATAACGTTGATATTTAAGTTGCAATCAAAAAGCTGTATTTTTTACAAATTTTCTTCACAATCGGCCATTATCGGGTAAAGCTTTTTTGTACTGAATTGACCTTATCAAATTTTAAGTTTAGCAGTTCCTTCCCTTGAAAGTCCTCCCTCAAACCATTTCCTACCCAGACATTTTTGACCCATTTTTTTTTTTATATATTTTTTGGAGGTGAGTTATTTTACATCTAGCGTATACATATTGTTGATGCTTACCTTACAGCTTTTTTAAATAAAAAAATATACAAGTTCAGTAATGATGTCTTATTACATTTTCTCAAAAAAGAATGAACTGGATCCACGGTGCATAATCCATATTTGTACTCTCTTTGCGAAATCTGCTGAAACGGTACCTATCATTCACTGCTTAAAACAAAACCAGCGGTGGATAACAATCATGTAAAATTTCATTGTAATAAGGAAAAGAGCTGAGGTATGACACTTAGAAACCACAGAACACTAGATTGTTTTATTTATGTGCTGATTCATCATGTGCCAGTCTCTCATGTACTGCAACTTCATAATAAGCTAAAAAAAATCGACATGTCTTGCCTTGTCCATCACCTCGGCTTACAGACACTTCACCCCCCAGACACTTCACCCTAGGCCCTTTTTTTGCAGACACTTCACCCCTCATTTTAAGAAATTTGAGTAAGGTTATAATTATATTTTACACTGGGGATTAGCATTGAAAAACCCTGACATTTGCTTAGTTCTGTGTAACATCTATACACTACCAGTACAATTTTTTTTGGAAAAAATGCGTTTTGACTCAAATTGATACTACATAACTGACAGGTATTCATGCCACATGGTTAATTTTAGAATTTTATCCAGGGAGACATGAGAATTATGCATAATATTTATACACATTTAAAGTTAAACCATGCATAATATATTGATTTCTTATTGGAGTGAAAAAAATGAGTACATGTACATAAATAATGTTCGGAAGTATAAAATGAACTAGGTACAAATATTGCTCTGTCAGATGTAGTTATACTTGGTTTTTATCACATATCACTTATCAATATGAAATCATCCATTTAATATATGCCAATTTTGGATGGGAATTTTTTTGACAGTAATTTTGGGACTTAAAAAATAAAACATTTGAAAATTTGCTGTCTTTTTTATTGGGAATTTAAATAGTTTTATAAGGGAAAAATGCTGTTCAATTACAAATAGAATAGATAATAGTTACAAATACTACAAATAATATATCAGGGATTGAAAAACGAAAAACAACAACAACAACAATGCTTAAAAAATATAAATTTCCTACATGTTCTGACTCATTTTTCTTTTTTGAAGACAATTTTTCTTTTTTTGAAGACACTGTTTAACTTACTTCTTTCTGGCTAAACATTTGCCAAATATTGCATTGTGACATTTTTAAAAAAAAATTTTGTGGAACATACTGGAATCGCCGCACGGGCTTTTAGTAAGTTTTTACAAAATTGAATCAGACAGAATTAAGCGTTGCATTCAACAAATCAACATCAGTTTTGCCCATCAAACACAGGGGAATTATTGTGTGCTCTGTCCTACTAGTAAAACTTGAAAAATGGTTTCAAAAGAATTGAATTGAAATTTGATTAATTTTATGCTAGAAATTTCACACATCCTGCAGGACGGGGGCATTTTTGGGAGATTAACTTGTCCAGAGTCATTTTTACTCGTATTTATCATTTATGAGCTGACAAGTGGATTTGTCAAGCCCTTGATTAACTGCAAGTGATTAACCACATTATTTCCATAAAACTTATACTACATGTAATTACATTGTTTGAGATAATAAATCATTTGACTTACTAGTGAAATAAGTTGTAAGACTGCATAATATTGATATAAAAGTGAAATTCAGTTAGTGGGTTCCAAACTACAGGTGGAAACTGTTCTATTTTCTATTCAAGTTTTTTTTTGATGAAACATAATATTGATATAAAAGTGAATTCAGTTAGTGGGTTCCAAACTACAGGTGGAAACTGTTCTATTTTCTATTCAAGTTTTTTTTTGATGAAACAAAACTTAATCCTGACAACAGTTATATATGCTTAACAGTGTTGTATTTTGATTATTTTAAAATCTGTTGAAAAATATTCATATTAAAATTCATGAAAAAGAAGTTTAAAAAAAAAGAGAAAGAAATGAGATTTGGGCATAATTTTTTAAAAGAAGCGTAAAGATACTTCAATGAAAAAGTAAAGATTAGGTAACAAAAATCAATCAAACGAAAAACTCATTTTAAATTTCAAGTTGTTCCTGACATGTCTAAGTTGTTCCTGACATGTCAGAACAAAATTAATAATTTTTTTTTTTGAAATCTCTGGTAACCTCGAGCTATGTTCTCTACCGATTGAGCTATGATTCCGACAATTATTACTCACTTTTACAATAATTATTGTTAGTCTCAATCATTTTTATCTGGGGACATGCCAACATTCAACTTACCCATATATATGCCTTTTAAAAAAGGACTGTTTCGACTATAAAATTACTTGAAATTATAAAGAATTGCCCTATTAATTCTTTACAGTCTATTTGTGTTATAGGCTAAATTTTAGGAGGACACTTTTGTGAAAAATACGCAATGAAAAATGAATAATTACATTGGGAAAAAATACAGGAAATGAAAATGGAGGCATTTTAACTTTATCCAATATTTCTTAATGGTTTCAATGAAGTATGTAATAAATTAAAAGAACTATTGTATTGGGATTAGGAAAAGTTTTTATTTCAGGTTTGTGAATAAAGGCTTTGTTTGTTTAGATTTCAATTGTTGGCTCAGTTGGTTGTTTGCTGAGAAGCTGTGAAACATAATTATACAGGCCATTAAGGTAAAAACATTAGTTAGCTTTTTTTTCTGACTTTGATATATATATCCATCTTACTGTAGCATAACAAAAGAGAGAACAATAGAATTCATTCCATAACCAATAGAAATTCTGGGGCCATGGCCCTTTAATAAACAAAAGGAAAAACAATAGTAATGGTCCTTAATCCCTTTTCGGTCACACGGGCAAACATTTTCTTCAAGTAAGACCATACATTTATATATGTTAGAAAGTTAAAAAGGAAATGTTCATTGTTATATATATATTTGGTTTTTGAAAATCTTTGTATATTTACAATTTTGACCAAATAGTTTCTCAAAGTATTTATTTGACATTAAAACTGACCATAATTAGTGGCATATGTTTTCTAACTTCTTTTTTCAGGAGGTTTTTTGTCAGATTGATGAATGTGAAATTAAGAGGACCCATTTTGAGGATGCTTTTTATGAATGGAATCACGATAGATGAAGGTCTAAAATGTGATACTGTCAATGTGACTAACCTTGAAGTAAACAGATGACACAATGTTTTTTTCAATGTCATGGGCATATAATGAAGAGGTACATGATTATTTGTATACACTTTTCCTTAATAAATACTTTCTAAAATGTTTGACATGTTTAAAGGCCAACACAGGCTTCAAGGTTTATTTAAAATCTGTAAGCTTGGCACTTAGAGCCAATTGTATATTAATTATTTCAATATTATTTTCATTATGCCAATCTGTTGTTAATTTAGGAACAAAAGTCGATTAGCAAAAAACATTTTAGCCGTGTTCATGACGAAACCAACATAATGGGCATCCGCCCAGTCTGATCAGGATCCATACTGTTCGCTATCAGTTTCTCTACTTGTAATAAGGTTTGTAAGCGAACAGCATGGATCCTGATCAGACCAACCTGGTTTCTGGATCCATGCT